CGGACTTCGGCCCTCGCCCCGCGCGGGCCCCTCGCTTCACACGTGAATTCTCAGCCAGCCCGGCGGCCTCCTTGCTGCCCGCGGGCGGGGAAACCCGCGTGCTGACCGCCCGCTTCGTGGCCGGGTTGCAATGCGGGGTGGGGGGCAGCAGTGGCCGTTCGGAGGAGCAGCCCTCTGCCCCTTCCCCGAGGGGGCTCCTCCCACCGGGTGGCAGGAAAGATGTGCGAATCAGCTCTCCGCCGCCCCGTTCTTCCTGTCTTCAGGCCTGGCCTGGCCGTTTCATCTACTATACACGTGTCGCCAGCGCGTCTTGCAGCCGAAGCGTTTCAAACGTGCACGTGCACGCGTGTGTCCTCCGGGCTCGGTGCTGAGACAAGGGCATGAAAGATTCCCACCCGCTCGGTTCGCGCAGCCCTCTCTCGGAGGATCCCCTTAACGTCTGAAGATCGTTGCGGCCACTTCCGGAATGAGGCTGTCGGAGGCAAGGAAATCGAAATTTAGCGTTTTACGCTCGCAGCCTCGTGCGTCGGTGAGGCTCGGCCCGGGTGGGGCGCAAAACACGCGTCGGTTTCCCCGCAAGCGAGTCCGGTCCCAAACCTCCCTTGGCGGCGGCGTCTCCAGCAGGTCGAGAAACGCGCCCGTGTTTTGGCGCTGGTGGCCTCCCTCTGCCTTGCGAGCGGTTCGCAAGAAGCGAGTCTCGAACGTGTGAAGTGATCCCCAGCCTCTAATGGGGCAACGCCGGGAAAACGCATTTGTAGATGTAAAGGGGCGGCAGAGGCTATCATTATCCCAAACCAGGGACGATCAACGTGCTTATATTTTAAAAGTATTATGATGTGATTCCTGCTTGGAATTTCGGGAGCAGAGTGGAATATAAATGTTCGTGTATGGAAAGTAAATCCGGTAATAAATAAATGAAAACAGAAGGCAGGTGGGATCGTTAGAGATTCTTCAGAGCGACACCGAAGACCCCTTGCTGTCTCTTACAGTCGTCCCTGGCCCTAATGTGTTGTGTGAGCCAAACAAGGCGTTAGGACTGCTTGTGTGTTTTGCAAGATCTTCCCTGGCTGCCTTGACAGGCGCAGGTTCTTTGGAGAGGTTGACAGTAGGGAGAGGCAAGGGCCAAGCGTTCCTGGCCTTGTGACATTGGGGTGTTGCATGCTGGCACACCCCCCCCAGTTCAGACCAATGAGAGGTTCCCTGCAGAACATCTGGCTGGATTGTATCATCTGCCTTTTTCCAGGCTTCTTTGCAAAATATCTCAAATATCCCAGAACACAGCCTCTAAGAAAATGGGTTTGGTGTTGCTTTGGTAAAAAAAAAAAAAAAGTTGTTGCTGCTTTAGAAGAAGAAGAAAAACAGAGAGAGAGATTATTTCTACTGGTTATGACCAAAGGAAAAATGCTGTTTGCAACATATTTGGAGGTTAGTCCAGATTTAGCTCCAAATAATCCTTGTTGCTATAAAAGTCTGGACCAGGAAACTATGAATGAAAGAATCTGAAGTTTCTCTCTGGATAAATTAACCTCCTGTTTTCTAAAATGTGCATGCCTGAAGAGACAGTGGGCAAACAAGTTAGGGGTATTGACATCCTTGGATCATATTTCCTCTGCTGCCTGTCCCTCTCTTGGAACGAGTGTCCCAACTTGATGCCTTTCCCATTTGCAGCCAACATGGCCATTGATGGGAGCCATCTTGCCAGATAATCTGGGAACATATTTAAGTCCTCCTAACAACATTCTTTGATCTGGTGCCTCCCAATGTGTTGGTCACACGTTCTAACATCTTCCAGTCCATGGCTGTGCTGAGGATGATGGGAATTGTAGGCAAGCACATCTGGAAGGCCATTGGCTGTAGAAGGCAGTTTTACTTCATTACAGACCACAGCTATCCTTTGTCATGATTTTTGGTACTGTAAAACCATATGTAGGATTTACAGAAGAGCTTAGGCTAAAACAACCCAGCTAGGAGTCAGTCACAATGTGTTGTGTGAAGATAACCAGAGTGGTTTATTGTTCAACATGTCATCCAAACTTAGAAAACAAGCTTCAGTCTTCTAATAGCTGTGATCAAGCATGTGTGAACACAACCCACAAATCACTACTCT